CCGCCCCCTCCCGCCCCGCTCCCCGCCCCGCGCTGACCCCGACGCCCTCTCTCTCAGGGACAAAACGCTCCTGAAGGAGAAGAGGAAGCGACGCGAGGAGCTGTTCATCGAGCAGAAGGTGAGAGGGGGGAGGGAGGGTGGCGTTCTCAGACCCGCCCGCACCGGTGGGAACTGGACTGGTAAGCACGCTGTCACTACCGTTTCTTGCGACCACGGTGAGGAGAGAGAGAGGCCTGTTCCCCGCATCTCCCTCAGCCGCGCGCAAGTGTGAAGTAGGAATTAGGTCCGTTGGGAATCTCAGCACCGGAGCCTCAGCAGAGAGAGTTTCGTCTTTAAAGAAACATTGGAACTGCATCTTGAGAATTGAGGTGGCTCCTGATGACAACACTCTGTGGTCTGATGTCTGGCACTGGCCACACAGATTGGCGATACCTTTGAGCCTTGTGGGTCCAAGCGGGGCACTGGGGGTTGCTTTCTGTTGGCAGGCGTTCCAAGTCTAGAAAATGTGGGAAAGGTTCTGAGTTTCGTGGAGCCCTCTCTTCCCCTTTCGGGGGTAGTGAAAGCAGTGTTTAACCTAATTCCTAAAATCTCAACTTTAAAAGCAACTCCAGACACAACTTGTGTGTATCAATTTTAACCTATTTTAAAATGTCTTCTATTTCCCAAAGAAAAGAAAACTCCTTCCAGACACTGTTCTAGAGCAGTTAACAGCTTCAGAGCCTGAGTAAGTAGTGAGTCTTGGATTGCTTACAACCATCTTTGAATTACAGCCTGGTACAGACATTTGTTTAGATCCATATAGTTGTTACAGGATGGGAAAGATGGGGGTAAATATTCTACCACATTTTAGCGTCCCTCATTTCTTTTGGCTCATTCTCATAGGTAAATCTCTAGCATCGGAGTTCTAGATCCTGATGTGTTTATTCAGTAAATTTTGGTGAGCACCATTGCACTTTTGGGCAGGTAGATGAGTAAGAATGTTATACTTGCCACCTGCCACCCATCTGTCCTCCTCTGTTCCATGTTCATTCAGCAGCTTTGCCACCCACTCAAGTGTTTAAAGGTAGAAGCTATAGTTTCCTTCTTCTCTCCCAAGGAATCAGTCAAGCCCTACTGAATTTACACTTTAAATGTTTGAGGTATTTTTCTATCCCCAATAGCTCCCCATAGTCATTTCTAAGTTCAGAAATTTTGTCTTTTACTTGGCTACTGATTCTGCCCTTTTCAGTAAATTCCCCAGAATTATCCAGATCTTTAATACATAAGTATACTAGTGGTCATTTGGTTTAGCCCTTTTCACCTTTCAAGAAAAGTTCAACCGTCACCTCATTTCCCACTCCTATCCTCCTTTGTGGCCTTTGTTCTTTGTTAAGTGCAAGTTGCTTCTACATTGTATTACATTTTCTCAACATTGGTCAGTTGATTAGTGGCTTGAGGCTCATCCTGGTCTCCAGGATGAACAGTTCTTTGTAATTTCTCCCAAGTATAATGCGACAGACCTTTTATTTCTTATTTTGAATACTGTGTTCTGTAACTATTAAACACCATTCTGCCTTTGCTTTCAGACTAAAATTCAGGATACATTCCCATTCTAGTAATTAGTTGGAAGATAGGGAAGAGCTGGTGGCAGTGTATAAGGGAGTAACTTGCTTCCTAAAACCATTGGTAACAGTAAAATGTGAGGATAGTGGTACCTGTAATCTTACTTGAAAACTATGTGAATATAATGTTTAAGTTGCTTTTTGCTGTCCGCCATTCCAGCCAATGTTTTGGATTTTATCTTTTTGTTTTCCTCAGCATCAAGAAGTCACCAGGAAAGTCGAAAGAAGGTAGGAAGTGTTCTGATTTAGGTAATTCTCATTTATGAAGCACATTTGCAGATATTTTCAGTTGTTATCAACACTTTCTTAGGAAAGAGCTGATTCCTTGGGTTTTTTTACAGTTAGAACTTGCATCCAGATTGGTATATCATGGATAAAGTCAATTCCAGTAGATGTTTTTTGACTTATTATAAAATGGAGTTTATTTCTTTTTAGGTAATTTGGAAAAGAAAACTGAAGACTGTAAAAAAGGAAGCAAGACCAAGAAAGTTAAAGTACAAAAAGTACGGTCTCTCAGGTAATTTGTGTTTTCCTCACAGATGGGATGTAAGTTGACCTTTGAGTTAAGTTTTAACTTATATGAGAAGATTTAGTAGCACTTCAGATTGGCTTCTCTGTAGGAAAAAAATCAGTTTGTCTTAATTATGTAAACAGCATACTTGCCTACCATACTAAAATGTGAACGTTGTCTATTTCTTGTAAAATGGCCTATTATCTATAATTGTGTAATTATCAAAGAACAAGACTGTTTCAATGTTAGTATAGCAAGGGTGGGTGCATTTGCTCAGTAGAAGAACTGCGTTTGATCCTTAGCATTACCAAAACAGAAAAGCTGGACTAAAGCTCACTGGTAGTTGCCCAGCACGTGTACAGTGATCCAGTTGCTTATGGGCTGAGGTTGTGGCTCAAGTGGTAGAGTAAAACCCCAGAGTTCAACACTGCCATTCCCCCCAAAAAAAGTTGCACATAAAAGTATGCATCCTTATTTGACCTTTTGATCACCAGCCAGACAAAGAGCTACGTGGCACTGAGGCTAAAAGACCAAGATCTGAAAGATTCAAGGCAACAAGCAGCCCAAGCCTTCATACAGAATTCTCTGTATGGTCCAGGAACCAACAGAACTACTGGTAATTTTCTTATAGACTATTTTTCTCAACTTTCTTTTAAACTGAATAGTACAAAGTTCTTTTCTCATCTTTTTAAAATTTTTAGTAAATAAGTTCCTGTCACTGAACAATAAGAGGTTACCAGTGAAAAAGGCTGCAGCTCAGTTTCTGAATAATTCTTGGGGTAAGATACAACTTAGCTCTGACAATTGTATATCCATATAAAGTAGAGAGTCTTTGAAGAAATGTTGCATTTTGTTTCTTGGAGTTATTTATTAAACTTATTAAACAAGTTTTAAGCTTGTTTACTATTCTTAATATATGAAACTTTCTGTTTTAGGAACCCAGAAAAAACAAAATGCCAAGAGGTTCAAACAACGGTGGATGGTCAAAAAGATGAAAACTTCTAAATAAATCTAAGCTAAAGCTAAATGAACAATCTGTAGTCTGTATGTTTAAAAGTTAATAGTGATAATAAATACCATGAACTGGGCTGGGAATGTGGCAGAGTACTTGCCTAGCATGCATGAGACCCTGAGTTTGATTCCTCAGTACCACATAAAAAGAAAAAGCTGGAAGCCGCACTGTGGCTCAAGTGGTAGAGTGCTAGCCTTCAGTAAAAGAAGCTCAGAGACAGTGCCCAGGCCCTAAGTTCAAGCCCCAGGAATGGCCAAAAAAAAGAACTTACTTGAAGTTGCTGAATGCTTTGAAATGTTCCCAGGAGTAAGGCATTTTGAAAAAAAATACAAAAGATCTTAAACGGTACGATGTCAGCCAAAAAATTTTATCTTTGTCAAACCAAAGGATCAGATTAATCTGAATAGCTTTCAAAACTAAACTTTGAACTAGTTGGGGGCTTGAGTGACAAGTCTCATGTGTCATGACTGTGACAATAAGAAGGTTCTTTTCCTGTTTTCTTCTGCTTTGTGCTTATTACCAGGTTTCTAAAGAGGCCATTCATCTTTAAGGCAGTCAGTTATATAGTAAAAAAATAATTAAAAAATCACTGTTAATTGCTCTAACTTTTAAGACATGAAAAAGTATATAAGTACCTAATATATAAACTCAATTGACACTAAGTATCTGTAGAAGTAAATTTTTAATGGCTGGTTAATTATATCACTACATTTTTTATTGCAATATAGTACTCATTTAAGCACTTAAAAATGGAAGGTGTACAAAGATTAAATTAAGACACAGTAAATTGACTAAATATTTGGTTTTATATAAATAAAGGTCATAACCACACTGTTGACATGTAATACTGTTATAATACAACAGTTAAACTTGTGAGTCTACAACAGAAGTCATCTGTAGTTAAACAGGAAACAAAGTTGAAAAAGACCATGTTAAAACAAAACTACTGGGACTAACAGGTTGGGATTGTAAGTAGCAACAAACATATTCACTCAGCTCCTGAGTATTTCAAGTTTTACAGTACACATTAAAAATGATTTCTTCCATCAACACTATAAATTCAAACTGTCGGATGTTTATGCATTTTGCAAATTACACTGATTGAATGCTTATATGGGAGTGGGGGGGTCGGAACATCTCCCAATTTGAAGTTCACATCACCCACATGCTAACACAAACACAACTTTTCCACTTCCTTCCCCCTTCCCCCACAAAGAAGGCAGGATTTTTTTTTTTTGGTTTCTTTTAGGTAATTGTTTTAAAGGATTTCTGATGATCAATTTGAATGTCTGAAATTCAGTAATATTTAACTCTTAGACAACTAAGAGGTTAAAGATGGAAAATAATTTCTCCTAACACTAAGTTAGAAAATCATTTGCATCATGCTGTAAACTAGGAAGCAATGTAAAGCGACAAAAACCTGTCCCCAGTACATAATTAAAAAAATCTAAATTTCAAATCAGCAGAGCTGCTCTATTTCCATGTTCACTAATGCCACAATATAAGTGCGCTCTCGAAATGCATAGCTAGTGTAGGTAGTCTTCCACGGTGGCAAATGCACAGGATCCAATTCCTGATCGAGCCATCAGTCCTAGACATTGTGTGGCCTGTCCCATTGCTAGGGCAAGTGGAGGTTGCTTTGGCAGATTGTGGGTTTCTGAGGAAAAATGGTTTAAAAATGGAAAAGGCAATTAGGAAGACATTTTAAAAAACATCTCAGGAAAATGGCACATATCCTACACAATTTACCAGATGATTTCTATGGCTTTCGCCTACCCCACTAGTACAGGCAGGTGGATGCTTTGGACAAAATACTGACAAGGCAGTGTAGCCACTAGATACTAACATGCTAGCCTAGCCGTAAGTACAAGGCCTTGCGTACTACCACCATCAAAAATATCTCTTGAGAGTTGCTAGGCAACTTTGCTCAAAAGCAAGCACCACAGGTTTGTTACTGTAGTATTTGGGCCAAAGAAGGCATTTTCTTTTGACATACAAAACAAATACACACTAGGTAGTGAATATATAGGTGAGCCTATATAACATAATACTTGAAAATTCACATTACATACAACCTAAATGTCAGTACTGCCCCAAACTAGTATGTTACTGAATTTTATAAGAACAATAAAAGAAAACCAGTTCTGATCAATTCATCAGACAAAATGAATTAACTAGAAAGGTTCTAATACCACTACAATTTCATGCTGTCCTTTCTCAGTTTGAGTGTTCAGGTCAGTGCCAAGTTAACTTTTAACCCATCCTACAATTTGTATTGAGTTGTATTTCAATCATTTCCCTGGCTCTAAATCCCTACCACTTCCTGCAGCTTTCACAACTTTTGTCCCTGATGATTACACAGAGAAACAACAGGACATCTTTCTACTGCGCCCATAATCTTTCCAACATTGGTCCAGCAATGAACAATTTAGCAAAACTCTGTCCCTTAATTCCTAGCCTAGAAGTAAGTGGCAGAATATACTTTTCACTGAAGAAGTCTTTCATGGGCAAGTATTTTTAATTTAAATACCTCGTTCTAAATGAGAAGCAGACATTGACAGCTCCCAGAAATGCTTACATAGATAAAAAACCTATCCAAACATCCTCAAGCCCCCCAGTCTGTTTTTATTCCACTAGAATCGTGTAATCTGTGTTTGATATAAAGGAAACAAGTTTCTGTATGTACTTCAACAAAAAAGCATTACTATTTTACCAAAATAAATGTTACAAGAAATTCCCTCAAATACTCTTAAGAATCTGGTTAGCCTGGCTTTTGGTTTTACTTGCCTAATATTGCACTGTTGAGAGCTGAGCACACAGGTTCTCTCTGAATTGGATCAAGTTGATTTCCAACTGGGCTGTTCCAAGGATCTGAATATGCTAGTAAACTGAATGCATCCTGTTGAAAATAAGCAGTTTGGTTTTCAGGTCAAATATTTCAGTTACTGTGCTCACAATGGTTCCAAGTTGAAAAGAAGGCTCTATATCATTGTAATCTTTAAACCCATTTACTCCTGCTTCTGGGATGTTCTGCATTTCCAAACTACAGTATGCAAGCAAAACTGCCTTTTTTTCTTTGCAATTTTTCTTGTGAACAACCATCTGTATTCACCCCTTCCCCATTCCTACAACACAAATAAAAGGCCAAAGAGTTACAACTAATTCCAAAGGAATGACAAATATGGATTAAAGCAGAAGGGGAGGTAAAACATGGAGATGCTTTACCATTTGTTACCAGTGATAGGACTGAAACTGAAAAGATACAGCCCACTTACAGTATTTTTTGTTGGCTTGTTTTATTACATAGTGGATGAAGGAGCTGGGCAATCAATAGTATCTCAATAGATACCATCTCATATTAAACTGGCTCCCCCTCAGGGCTTCTCTTACAACTACACTAAAGCTACTCTTAGAATAACTGACAAAAAAAAATTGTCTTTCTACAAAATCATATACTGTGGTGGTTTCAAACATTAGGTTCAAATCAAAACATCAAATCATTCATTGTGTGCCTCTGACAAGTAACAATCTCTCTAAATGCTAGTTTCATTTGTATAATGGGAGATTTTAAGGAGATCCTAATTTCAGGTCCTATGAAGACCAAATGAAGTTCTTAGCAATGTCAGTCCATGCCAACCTTTCAATCAATGATGTCTTGTTAGTATGCCAAAAGTCGATATTCTAATCCAGAATTAACAAACACAAACACCCACCACTATTGCTCAAGTCATCAGATTTTACTCCTGTTACCCAATATTATTCTTCAGTGTTACTACTAAAGTAAGAGACGAGGGCAAGACATTTGGTCAACTACCCAGGCCATGCCTCATCCACACACATGTACATCCACTTCATGGTAGATACACAGCCATCGATGAAGAAACCTGTTCAGCCAGTTTCAAACTACAAAACAATATGTATACCTCTAAATAAACACATATGGCTCCTTAGTGTCTTATATATTGCTAAATACTTCAGCTGATTCTTCTGCCCCAATAAAAGTTCTATGAAGAAATTGCTGTACTATTTTGAATCCTCCACAGCAACGCATTGATGCTGGGTACAGGAAGTGTCTTCATAAACCTCCATAAGGCCTGACGCTTATGGCACTAAATATGTTCCATGCATCCCAGTCTACTTGAAACTTACCGGATAAAGAAAATCCTATATATCTTATCTGTAAAGTTAGCTCTAATTAATCCATTATTTCCAAAGACTGAGCTTTGCCAAGACTTAAATTTACCCTGTAATCACAACCATCTAACAAAGTACCATTCAAATAGTACAATTAAAAAAAATCTGTTCAATGAATAATTGGTAATTAAAATCTTCAATATAAAACTTTCTTCATCATGGACCCATATCTTGACACACCTCAGAAAGGTAAAATGTAGCCTCAAGTTGTGTCAAGTCTCATCACCCTCTAGGCATTTGAAAAACTCACAAAAACAATAATTACAGTACTTCTGGGAGTACTAAATTGTGAGTAGCCATTTCAAGCACTAATGGATCACGTCCATACTTCATAACATTCTGAAGCTGGTGCTGGCCATGTAAAAAGAGGCTAATGGAGGCAGTGAGAAATCAAGGTCACAAAGTACTGTACTCATTTAGTAAGATGCAGTTTCTCCTAATTAGCAATCTGAACATTAAAAGGAACATGTTTGTATTCGGTTGAACACAGAGGCCAGACAGGACATACAGTGACCAGAAACTAGTCACTGCTTCAAGAACAGACACTCACTGGGGAATGAAGAAAGGAAGAAATGTAACATTCAGTGTACTAATGACCTAACAGATTCAGAGCACATGAACTCAGGCTGAAAGAAAAACTACGGTTAGAACCAAGGGTAAAGACTTAGACCCTAAAATAAAACCTCACTAAAATTTCCACTGTAATTTTTCAACACAATGGGGCTCTAAGTAAAGCAATGTCATAGGGAATAGACTTGATTTTTTAGAAACATCACACAGCAGCACTATGCAACATGGCTTAGGAATAAAAAAAGCCAAAGTAAGAAAACATAAGCTTTGGGCTAGGAATGTGGCTTAGTGGTAGAGAGCATGCCTAGCATAAAGCTCTGAGTTCGATTCCTCAGTACCACATAAACAGAAAAAGCACAAGTTGCACTGTGGCTCAAGTTTTAGAATACTAGCCTTGAGCAAAAGAATCTTAGGGGCAGGGCCCAGGCTGGGCAAAAAAAAAAGGAGGAAGAAGGAAGAAGAGGGGGGGAGGAGGAGGAGGAGGAAGAGAAGGAGGAGGGAAGAAAGAAAAATATAAGCTGTAAAAACAAAAACTGGGGGGCTGGGAAGGTGGCTCAGTGGTAGAACGCTTGCCTTGCACGCATGAGGCCCTGGGTTCAATTCCTCAGCACCACATAAGCAAAAAGAAAAAAGCCGGAAGTGGCACTGTGGCTCAAGTGGTAGAGCACTAGCCTTGAGCTGAAGAACTGAGGGACAGCGCCCAGGCCCAGAGTTCAGGCCCCATGACCGGACCCCCTCCCCCCCAAAATAATAATAATAAAAATGTAAAGACTAAACAACAAAAGAACAGGACAATTTTGGGACCCAAGCTAAAAATACAATCAATATTAAATTTATATCACAACTCAAATTCCGAGATCTCTAGATTTCTTTCCCATATTATTCTTCACCATTGCCTTAAGACTTTACAATTAAAAAAATATTTTGTGTTTACTTCATGAATGTTTAAATAGTAAGATACCTCTTTAAACAGTTATCAAAAATTATCTCTTTACATTTAGAATTCTAACAGTCAAAGCCAATTTTAAAAGTTAATCTTAAAAATGTGAATGAAAGGGGCTGGGAAGGTGGCTCAGCGGTAGAGCGCTTGCTTTGCAATGCCTGAGGCCCTGGGTTCGATTCCTCAGCACCACATAAGCAAAAAGAAAAAAAAGCCGGAAGTGGCGCTGTGGCTCAAGTGGTAGAGCGCTAG